AAGTGGTTCAAGTCGTTCATGATGTAATGTTTTGTTCTTGGCATACAGCTGTGTGTAGTTTGTATAACTTTGACTAATGTACCATGTATCCGGCTTTCACCAGGTTACTGGGTGTTTCCCTCATCTTCAACGTAAATAACATTTAGCAACAATCTCACATACTACTCTCCTGATGATGATGGCAAAGACCATTGAAAGCTAGAGAGATTAAAAAAGTATAAAGAGCCCTTCTTGCTTAAATTTTGTCGAAGTACCCAACAAAAGGCGGAAGCTTTAGTTTTTCACCTAACTGGTCTAGATGACAATGACCACGTCTCAAGTTATATATATATATATATACGTAACATGCTGTCATCTTTGATATTCTACGAAAAAGATGACAATATGATAATTTCAAGGCTTACTCAAGAAAATAAAATGTTCATAATAATGGATATGCATATGCAAAAATGGCATACATGAGAAAAGTCAATGTTGAGAGGAAGGATAAGAGACAAAAAATTATGTTAATGTTTTATTTATTTTACCTGGCAAAAATCGAAAAGTGGCAATGACAATGTGCAATTTATTTTTAGATTATTTCTCAAAATAAATTCTGAAAAAGCAAGAAACGATTTTGGGAAAATTCGTTACCTTTTCCGGGTATCTCTAGAGATACTGGAAAAATATATACCCGTATCCCTTACCGTTTCATAATGGTGAAAATATGGAAAATTTGTTTTTCAAATCATTCAAGAATAAACTAGCTACACATCCTTCTACATACTATATAAATTAACTATTTTTGCCTATATATTATCTCAGGTATTTTAAGTATTGCAAATGACTAGATCATCACTTAAAAAACCGTTTCATACAATACTTGCTTGAAAGTTTCATAAAAGTAGTCCTAGTATAACCGTATGAAATTTCAAATCGTCGTTGAAGGCTCTATAAAATGAAATGCAAATAAGAAGTGAAATGTTAAAAATAGTTATGTAGATATGATTCGTGGAACATCCACCAAAATTTTTTTTGTAGGTGCCCCCCTTTCAGGTTTGATTTGGGTACGCCCTTGACATTGGGCCAGACAGATTGCAAGTCTGCCGTTGGTGTGAGCCCCAGGCAATATATGATATACGAGTATTCAAGGGGATACGAGTGAAATATTATGTGGAATATTGCGAACTTTTAGTACGCATCTTTGATTTACTGAATTTCCTATGTGGAACAGTGTTTTTGTTTATACCAGAAAATATCGTAGCATATTATTTATGACTAGATAATCAATTTTGAATAAAATATCTAACAAACTTTTTATCCCTAAAGCAATAGAAAAATTTTATAGATTTAATGAATCCATCGCATTTTGGGCTCTTGTTAACTTTTTCGAACAGTTAAGTTGTTTACTATAGGAAGGAACCAGGGAGGGAAGAGGGAACCGAGGATTCAAGAGCAGATTTTGGGATCTGTCTAAGCGTGGAGTGGGGTCGCAGTGGCGGTTACAGCATTCATGTTTAGTATGGTCGTCGCCCGGAGGATTTACCATGTGGGATGGATGGCAGACTTGGGGGTCTATGAAGGGCAGATCGCCCCCCTCTAAGTACGCCATTGACAGTATTGTTTGTAGTAAGAAATATATTGAAAAAATCATTTTGTCATGTTCATAACAAAATTATATACAGTAGCTAATATTATAAGGTAGAAAAAAGTTTTATTGGATATAGAAAAATATTTGATGATTATTCTCTTTGTCTCTTTGTCGTCAATGTCTTCACTATCTTCGTCACTACTATCGATGTCAATATCGTCTTCTCCGTCAGATTCTGTAACAATTTGTCTAAGCTGGTACAATTATGGATAATATTTTATGAATAATAATTAAACGTGATAATTAGATACCTGTTATGGTTTTCATAGAATCAGTAAAATAATTTGGTAGCTGAGCCCCTTCAAACTAATAAAACTGGTATTTGTCATATTTCATATGTCGTAGTTGACAGACCATTGACCATTTTTTAACAAACCGGATCAACTGTATCAATAGTATAAACAACACTCAACACAGTCATAGATCGCAGTAGACCAAGCTCACTATCTCAGTCGCAATCACTTGAATATATACCGCCTCGCGGTCGCAGCTACGGCAGACTTGTAATATGTCAGGCATAACTATTTAAAGCTGCCTGCTACTGGGGTAACATCTTTTGATAGCCCCCCAAGTAACATATGAATTTCAGCCTTTATACGATGACGAAAGTTTAACTCCAAAATTTGTTAAAGTTTCATGGGTATCTGGCAGGGTTTGAAAGTGCCTGGTAATGGATGAGGTCATTTCCAATACCGTTCTGAAAGAAATATTTAAAAAAATTGGGCTCGTTACTTCAACGAATTTGAGGTACTATTTTAAACACCTTTGCTATCTTTTACATGCCAAAATAACCACCTTCCAAATTTTGTAGTCGCTGATTACAGTCTCCGATTTGACAAATCATCTGCTTCTATAAAAATTTTTCATGTTCGATCTCAACCCTTGTGACTGGGATTCCTGACATCAATTGCCACTGTAATGCACCAGAATATGAGACATACAGTCTCAAAATTGGAGAGTCGAAATATCATAAGGTAGATAAGAGAAAATGTCGAAAAGGTCTATATTTTTGAAAATTCTCCATCCCTGCGCACAGTCGTACCGCATTTCGGAGACAGGATGGTCTAGCTCATACTTTTGACTAAAGTTGCACAACGATAGAAAAGAAAATATTGAAAACGTCTGTTTCTTTGGTAATATTCCATATTCAGTTTGGCCGATTCTGGGTTACAAAATACCAAAACTTATATATAGAAGTGACTTTATTGGTAGTTTATGTACACTATAATGTGTAAGATTCAGTCCGAATTGAACAATGTAGATGACAATAGCAGAGATAATATTGATATCTGTTTTTGTAGAACTCATTCAGGTTCGGTCTAACCGATTTTGGGGTACAGATTTTTGTAGCTTATATAAATGCCTTGAGCTGCAACTGCTGTGTACTGGAATTTGTGAGATGAAGTCTTCCATTTGGGAAATGTAGATAAGATATAAGAGAAAATTTCACAATTTATTTGATACTTCTTGATAGCTCCAACGCAGTCTCACCGGATTTCGAACATAGGTCGGTCCTACTAGGATCTATGACTTCAGCTTCACCTTCTGTGTACATGAATCTGAGAAACGCAGTCTCCGAAGTGAAAAATGTAGGTAACGATAAAAGAGAAAACATCGAAGGGTTGTATCTTTAGTAATCCATTATCACTTTAACAGAGAAATACTCAGTTTCACCAGCTTTTGGTACTCAGAATGTTGATGCATAAGCCTGGCTGCAAGATATGTGTACCATAGCCTGTGAAATACTCACCGAAATGAAGGATGCAAACATCTTTTTCTGGACAACGTTAGTTAGTATGCAGTCTTATTGAGGTTTAGTGCACTGAGTGGTGCAACTATATGAATAATTTTAGTTGTCACTTTTGTGAGCCACATTCGATGAGGCACGGTCTTTGAATTATGAAATATATATTATACTAGTTCCAAATATGTTTCTTTTGTGATCGTTCATTGCTGTTATATCTAGTCTAACCGACCTTTGCGTATGAGAATGTTGTAACTAGATATACTTAGTTGTAGCTCCTGCATAGCAGAAGCTGTGAGAAGCAGTCTTCAAACCAGAGGGAAACGTGTTACAGCTTCTTGGTACCATACTCCGTGAGAGACACCCTTCGAGCCCAAGAAATTCAATGACGCTATAGAATAGAGGATTGCTTCTCTGGAGAACGATAGTCGCAACAGCTTATGATATGACTAATTGTTTGTATCTTGGATAGTTGCTACTATATGCGCGATCTTAAATGTAGCTTCATGGTACCACATTCTGTGAGGTACAATCTTCGAGTTGGGAAGTGTAGATAACGATAGAAGAGGAAATACCGAAAAGGTACGTTTGTTGTAATATTTTATCGTTGTTGTACAAACATGAATGTTTAGGCTCGCCAATCTTGGTACTGGCGTTATATCTAGATATATGACTTCAGTTGCAACTTATGTAGTACATCAACATTTTAGTGGCGCAGTCTCCGAACTGAGAATCGTCAACATCGTTAGAAGATAAGTTTCACCGACCTTAGGATGGACACAGGATGCAATTAGATGTACAAGTCAGTCCACTGTGAACATTTGTGTGAGAAACGAACTGAAAATGGAAACAGCGTTAGAATCGAAAGGACTGTTTGTTCTAAGTTTGCTCGTCTGAAACATGTAATAATAATAAATAATCTTGTTTGTTTTTGGCCTCTTTCTCTGCTGCCACTTGGTCGATTTTCAAAAACTAGCCTTTGCGTCTTTGGCAGCGTAGCAACATTGTCTTAAAATCTCATTAAAAACCAAGCGGTACTTCTCAAGTTATAGGCGGTTATAAGATTAGCCGACAGACCGATGGAAATGAACGAAATGGTTCTTCATGATATACATGTCATACGACTATGATATCCAAAATACATAATATCTTATTTTAGTTTAGATTGGTTTTTGCGAAGCGAACGGCAGATCGGCAGGGCTCATTGTGGGGGGTCAAAAATATTTTTTTTTTTTGGAATGATGAAGAACTAAAATGAAGATTGAATGAGAATGAGAAAAGGCTGTGAAGTTAGTGAAAGAAGGGTCCATGTTGAAACGCAGTGTGCAGTCGATCTTCCCGTAGTAAGTAAATGTACTGTCTAGAAGCTGCTTAGTAACTGTATGTTTTAAGATTGAGATTGTATTGAAAAGGTATTCAAATATGACTGATTTTTCGTACTTCGATCCTATTCTGGAAATATGTAAACTTGCCCAGATAGATCGGAGCTCTTTACAGTGTTTCTTTGAAAATGGGTTCGTAAAGTATTATGTTCTGCACAAGCTGGCCCCTACGAGATAAAAGTTAACTACGGACACTTAGAACAAAAACATTAAGGGGATCAAGTTATTCAAACAGACTCATACAATTAAGATCTGCATACTTTACTTTCTCTTTTTGTACAATTTTGGAGCTCTTTAGGAGTTGGCTGCCTGAGAAAATATGCTCTTCCTCGCGCTTCAGAAAGTTTTGGAGGTAGTATTGCTTTCACACAAAAGTTACCTCTTGTCGATAGATGGCCCTCCTCCTTCCGCTGAGAATTCCTAAGGCCGCATATGCTGCTACAAAGTTGCATCGCCATAGTTTTCACTAGGTTATGTTGTTTCAAGAGGGGACAAAAGACACCTAGTTCCGTCGTTGTCTCTTATTGTAATAAAAATTCTTATTCTGATCCCTTGGGATAAACATACATTTGAGTTCTGATGCACGCATAGTGAAACACCACCTGTCAACTGTATAGCTTGGGCCTTACAACAAATAATCATAAAATGTATTCAAATTCTATCCTAATCTGGAAATATGTCAACTTGCGCAGATAGATCGAAGCTCCTTATACTGCTTCTTTGGATTGTATGTTTTAAGATTGATTTTGAGTTGAAAATGCATTCAAATATGACTTATTATTTATTAGTACTTCGATTCTGTTCTGGAAATATGTGAACTTGCCCAGATAGATTGGAGCTCTTTATTGTGTTTCTTTGGAAATGGTATGTTTTCAAGATCGATGTTTATTTAAAATATGAAAACTAATTTAGTGAGCGCATTTTAGGTATCTTACCTACAAAAGAGTCGATTGGGCTCTGCAAGGTGAATGGGCGATTGACAGCAAGAGCAAATAAGCGATAATAGGTATAAAATTGACAATAGCCTTTTTATCTTACAAAAATACAAATACTGCACGTTTTAGGCTGACAAAGAAATGGAGAGACGGAAACAACAAAATAAGGAATAAAACTGGAAAATTGATGAATTGTCCTGTAACATATGTAAGATATATTTTGATATTTTGAATAAGAATTTTTGTAGATATTCTTACTCAGTGAAGGTTTTGTATACTCATGAATAGGTTTGAGTGGATTTTATGTTTTGACAAATTACGAAATTGAGATATTCTGTTTTTTATCTTATATGACATGTACATATTCAAAAACCATCTCACCCATTTCCGTCGGTTTGTCTGTTTGTCCGCTAATCATTGGTCCCTGTATAACTGTCGGATTTTGATGAAGTTTTGTCACAACCTTACTGCTAAAATAATAAAAATCGTTCGTTTCAGTGTCTACTGCTCATTTTCAGAAAAACATTTTGAGCGGGTTATTGTAAGGGGTCAAGCGTATCCTGATGTTTTATTATCAACCATAGTCGTTATCGTGTGGGGATACTTATGAGCAGCCTGTTGCTGCACGAGTATCCAACACGATCTAAGTTTTTAAAGCTCCTTATACCGCCAAGGGGTAAAAGCTTCGCCAGTGTTACAGATTACTCTTTAAAAAATCATCTATTGTGCCATTTCCAAGATTTCAGGTAAGAGATAGCTGTTGAATACGATAAATAGAAATACAAATATTGAACATATATGGGAATCTAACGGAGAGTTCATATAAGCTCTAGATTCAGAAGATTGACTAACTAATTGAAGTTGAATCAACTAGTTTAGGAAATATGCCAGGTAAGCACTTTTGAAAATAATGATCTGCTAAATTTTGTTTATTTGCAAACATAATAAATATTTGAGATGATGTAGAAAGTAAGAAGTGGCTGGAAATCGGTTTTTCTTAGGTACCTTTTGAACGACACTGTATAATTAATCGAAATTTTGTCAGCTCCGTAAGCAACTGTAGTTTGATTGGCTGGTGTTCACGGAAAATCACTGACACACTTATAACGTGAGGGGCTCACTAGCTCTAACGCAATGTTGCCAACACTTTTTATTTGAAAAAAAAACGATATCCAGTAGCGGCTAGCGGCAATTACGGCCCTGTATCTCCCTAATAATGAACTTGTGGCATTCTCTTTTGTGTTCTATTTGTATTCGAGAAGTTGACATATTCTGATACTACACTGCATACACATTTTGATGACCTCATTTTATTATAAACCTTATAAATATTTCAGATAGTGACGAATAAGGGTATAAATCTTTTTGTGACACTCCAACGTATAGTTTGCACTCTACTATATGAAGACTTTACATGACCTTAGTTAATGAGTATGGCAATTATTCATCTTAGACGTTTTTGAAAATTTCAAAAATTTATTTTTACATGATGTAGAACATACTGATTCCATCATGAAGTTTCCCTAGCAGTCTGACGTTTTGATAACAACAATAATGAGGAGATTTTCAATCATTTTTAATACAATATACTAAATATTTGTTTTAGTAAATGATGACGGAGGTCGAAGAAGTAGATGCTCCCAGAAGGTTATGTTCTATTACATTTGAATATCGATACCTTAATCAGACAACCGCTGTTTAAGTAACAGAACTATAGTTCAGGTAAGTAATGTACGCTTCTGAAGAATTCAACACGTTTTTGAAACTAACAAAAAATTTATAATTTTTAAAAGTAAAATCTAATTCATCTTAGATGTTTTGCAAAATTTCAAAGATTCATTTTTTACATGACGTAGAAAGCTGACTTACTGATTATATCATGACGTCTCTCTAACATTCTGATATTCTGATAAGAATATTAGTGAAGAGCTTCTCAATCATCTTTAATATAAAATACCATACAACTTTTGTTTCAGAACATGATGAGAGAGATCGAAGAAGTAGATGCTTTTAAGACATATTTGGACCATGTTCTATGATAACTGAATATCAATCCCGCAATCAGACGACCAGTGTTTTAGTAACAGGACTGTATTTCAGGTAAGTTGTGTACTGTTCGCAGGAGTCAGTCCCAAAAATTATTCACATATTTTAAACAATGCTATTAAAATGATATTGTTAAATTAGAGACGCACCTGAAGATTTGCACACATTTTTGAAACTAAAATACAAAATTCTGGAGCATCTAATTTGTAATGATGTAAACACAGTAACAGATTCTATCGTGATGTTTCACCTACTAACGCTTCTGGCAATAGTAGCAGTTAGACGGGTAGCAACTATTTCAGCTAAACTACCTTTTAAAAATAAAATATAATTTATCTCAGATATTTTGACAAATTTCAAACATTCATTGTTTACATGATGTAATGCTGACTCACTGATTCTATCATGACGTTTCCCTAGCAGCCTCATATTTTGATATAAATAATAATGAGGAGCTTTTCAATCATCTTTGATACAAAATACTACACTTGTGTCAAAATATCTTTAGGAAGATCGAAAAAGTAGATGATTCTTCTACTACTTCATCTTTAATGTTCTATTATATCTGAATGTCAACACCTTCTTTTAGTAACAGAATTTTAACTCGGGTATATTATGTTCTCTTTGAGTAGCTAGTCCCAAAAATATTTAACGAACTTAAATCGCCCAAACTTTGATTTTGATGTTTCAGAGGTTCCTTATCTTTTTCAGGAAAAATATTTTTGGCGTACTCAATTTAAGTAAACAGTTTATAAATTTTAATTAAAAAAGTTTCCTATATCCAAGTTAACTGATTTATGAATTGGAGTCTAATTAAACTAATGAATCTTATTAGCAGTCAAACGGTTAATTAAATTTTTAATTGACCTTATTAAAATTTTTCTTGCTTTAATTAAATTCGGCATATCTGCCAATATAATTTATAATATTACCGATAAAGATCATACAGTTTTGTTAATAATGATGACCTGAGCATGGTTAATAAGGTACCAGGCACAAAACATATGGGATTTGACCACCGGTCAATTTTACAGAAAATTCATATAGTGATAGATCATGTTTTGCTGGTCAAATGTCCCTATAAACAAATTCTGAATACAAATAATATAACAACTGTTTCAGAAGAAAATGAAGCAAATTGGAAAAATGGATGCTCAATTGCAAGACATCTCAGGGAAATATCAGTACCTAAGGATGAAGGTAAATGAAGGAAAGCCAAATGATTATTCAGATCAGAAATATCGTTCACGTAACTGTCTGAATATGTTGTTCATGAAGCAGCTCCAAATGATGTAGAAAGCAGGAAAACTGGTACTAAGATGACAGTTTGCCATCACTCACGATTATGAAATAGTTTAAAGCTATAGCTAACATTTCGCATTTTTCAATATACTGGATAGAAAATGTCGTTAACCGTTTCAGATAGAAAGAAACAACGAGTGTACTAGAAAGACTGAGGATCAGTTGTAAAATGGACAATATTATATTACATCCAAATATAAATGCGTAAAGATGAAAATGGGACACTTTTGGCTAGGAAAACTGTATAAGAAAACTGCCGTATCGACATAGCAATAGTTTAGGTGAGCCAGCTGTGAGAGATATACTATTGAGCATTTTTGGTTATAGCTTGGTTTCATAAAAATATTTCACGCAATTTAAAAAGAATTCGTTTTTATGTAAAAAATAAATTATCGGTTTAGTAATTCACGGTCCCGGTGTATATGGGGAACGAGCCTTTGTTGTTTGGGCGCCCTTATGGATTCTAGCATCAAACTAACATTGGATTTGGAATCGAAGAATCCACTTCATTCAAGAATTGGCTCCTCGGATCACAGATAACTAGGGGTTTCTTGTTTATGATACTATTGAAATCTCCACCCAAAATTCAGAGCACATTTTTCTAACGAAAGTTTCTTGTTCCTACCCATTATGTTGTCATACAATGAGGTATAAATTACGAAAAATGATCTAGTGTGTTACACGATTACTCATTCGTCGTTCTGACGAAACATTTTTATATATAATTACACGATCAAACGAACTTACCGGTAAGTGACATTCGATCTTAATTATATGAAGTCCTCGTCGAAGTAAATATTTAGAATATATATCCTAGTACCCTCGTAGTAGTAGCCAACTGCCACCGCGTCCCCTCACCCTACTTTTCTCCCCTCTGGCCGCCAATAAACCTTCATTGACTTCAAAGCCAAGTTGTTGCAACGATTGGGTGATACATAGGGAGAGAGGGAGCTATTTACTTCGAAGAGGAGTTCACATAATTATGATCGAACATCACTTACAGGTAAGTTCGTTTGATCGCGTAATTATGTTCTGTCCTCGTCGAAGTAAATATTCTGAATGCGTATGGTAGATGTTAAAAGCTAGTTGCAACAACATACTACTAAAGCTCTGCAATAGTAAACCATGGTTGTACACAACTACACAAATTATACGCAATGCATGTGTCAACTAAATGTACATTTCCATTGTAACAATTCAAGTTAAGGCTTTTAGCAACAGGTAATATGACGTACCTGGTAAAATGCTTTACACAGATATTTGGGCATAAAATACAGTAAAACTTAAGTGGTTGCCACTTGAGTGACCCCGAGCCTTTTAAAAACTGAGAAATCCCAATTTCAGTATTATTCAACCCAATCCGGATGTTGTCTGTTTCAATTAGTTTGCACAGTCTGACCTGAGGTTAGCGCTAGCAGTGTTTCTGATTTCCTCATCCAAATATCTACACAGCTTACCAGCAACCCTTTTGGTTGGTTGCGAACAACCACAGTGACTGTATCTCAGTTGAGATGGCCTCAGCCTGTAAATGCCCTTCATAATCCATCTTATGTCTGCATCGTTAGTAACATTTTGGGTAAAATACTGATAGCTCAAACAATCATATCTTGATCTCTTATCACCTGCAAGGTAAGAAATTTCAAGGTAGGAAGCCAGACATGTATTTCTTCCCGACAAAGGTCCTAGCGTAGTCTAAGCCCACAATACATGATGGATTATCGATGTTGATTGGAATGACAGCTTTCTAGTGACGATAACCAGGGTAAGCTTCAGAATCATTGGAAGCGGCGTCCTGGGTCCCTCCATCAGTTCCTTGCGTTACTTCTAGAAGTGAAATTTCAGAAACACCGAATACTTGAACCAAAATCAGGACGGTGACAGGTGCAGCTCCCACTCCGTTTCCACATCCCACTGACGCAAAAGCTCATCTGCACCAGTATTACTCCTAGATTTTATATTTGACGCGAAGACAGTAAGATTTCTCTCTTTACACAATTGCCATAGTTTTCCCGCAACCTGGTCGAGACGTGGAAACCAGAAGCTCTCCGTTCTATTGATGTAGGATGGGGTATAATATGCGACACCCCATCAATTCGGTAGCAAAGCATTCAAAACAGAAGAAAAATACCAGTCGTTCTGGATGATTAGCATGCGGGATCTTCTCGGGTGACCAAAAACTAGATACTCCTCTAATCCCTACGGAGAAGTCTGATCCCAGTTCAATAGCCTAGACTCAAGTGTTATATCCCTATAAACAAACAGTCTTGAGGTAAGGAATCAAACGTGTTGACCCATCAGACTTGGGGGCAAGAAAAGGTTGGATAGGTGCTGATTTTCAGTTAGCTTAGCTTTGCTTTAATGTGAATATCTGCCAGCATGCGTTCCTCTTTGAAACTAGAGGATAGAGTCTTGCCACTTGCAGTTAATGAACAGCTGACATGTTGGTGTACACAGTCCAAGCACGCATCCCTGCTTGCGACAATTTCTATTATGGCTTCCGTTAGCTCAGGGTTCACCTTAGGCGGCTAGAATAGAACAGAATTTATTCATCTATCGTCATCAACAAGATTTGCCCTCGAAATATCAGCTCTGAAACAACGCGTGAACATCAATTATACTAAGGTCGCCGCATCATCGTGGTAATGCGTCATCTATTGGAACAGACTACATGGCCTTTAAGACAACACAATCCAGAGCGCCCTGCTGTTCGAGTGCCACCGATGCAAAATGTAACGTTAATCGGGCTTAATGATATTTAACTTCCGTTGTTACCTAACGTTAGAACTTTGGTGGTTTCCTAACCTAAGATTTTTATACTTACAGTCCTTTTCCATAGTTGTCACAAGCCATTTTTTTGTACTCCAACCACCACGAAGGCCTAAACACCCATGGGCTACCGTGGGGCTATAGGGGGATACAGGGGAAAGGGGGAACGCCACACAGACTCTGGCGAGGGAACACGTGTGCATGCAACATGCACACATTCTGACCCCGCCTACGAGATCCGCCGGGTGGTACCTCCGCATTCGACAGTCAGAGACCGTCTACCACCTACGGACAAACACAATATCCATAGCCAAGAGAAAAATGTCTCCTGGGACGGGATTCGAACCCGCACAGCGCACGGCGACTGATCAGGAGACCGAAGAGTCTGCTACTGCGGCCACCGCTGCTGCCTGATGCCATGTGGAATTTGCTATCACAAGCAAAATGTAACGCTAGTCTACCATAGATGTACCTAATTTCTATATGTTGTTAATGAGAAATAGTACTTCAGGTGTTTCGTAACCTGTCATGTGCATATTATTGACCTGTTCGATGGCTATTACAAACCATAAGGAATTTGCTATCACAAATAAAATGTAACGCTAGTCTCGCATTGATAAAACCTAATCTCTATCTGTTATTAACGAAAAATGGTACTTTACTGGTTTCCTAAACTGTCATGTGCATTTCGACAAAGACCGTACTATGACCGTCGCCGAGTGTAGACGTGTGTGAACATCTCTCCAAAACACAGTTTGTTGAGAGCTAGTAAAATCCACTCTTCAAATTTTTATCAGTCGGTGTATATATTCGATTTTCATAATGCCAACTAGAAACCGGGCAGAGTTTGAGGGATCGTTCGTGGAGGAGATCAAATAACATTTTAAATGCAATGCGAGGCTATCATTACCAACATAACAAGGAAACTCTCTGAAAAGTTCCACTACTACGATGCGAAAATTGCATCTCTTGAAGCTGAGATCCATCTAATGAAAACAAATAATAATAGCCAGGTTGCAACGAATGAAAACAAATTGGAACAAAAACTCGATCATATACGAGCACAGCAACAGTCTAAAAACAATAATCTTCGATTTTTTTGAGTGATGGAGGTTCCCAATGGAAATACCACAACAAAGGTGAGAGAGTTTTCTTGCAGAAAAATTGAAGGTCGAAGTAGACGAGAGTGATATTGTTGCTGCATACAGGGTGAGCCAAAACACTTCTGGTCGGCCAAGGCATTTGGTGGTCACTTTTAAAAGTAATGTTATCAAGAGCAGCATTTACAATAAGAAGAAGTCGCTGAAAGGTACTGGTGTGATAATCAGTTACGTCTGAACTTAGTCAAGGAGGCAGCTGAAAGATATGGATTTTGAAATGTATGGACACGGAACGGTAATACTTGTATGTTTGCCAAGACTGAAACGGAAATGGAAAAGGTACTGCATAATGTCTAACTTTTTTCCTACTGACTGTGTCTTTTGTGTACCGATAGTATTTATTTGACATTTTGCGGTTAGTCTTAGAATAGTCACTTAAGTTGATGAGAGATATGTGTCTATTGGGTCACTTAAATATAAAATCACTAGTTTCTAAACTAAACCAAGCTCCTTTTAGAAGAGAAACAATTCGAAATTTTGACTATTTCGGAAACGTGGCTAAATGATCAAGTCAGTTCTGATAATTTAATGATTCAGAGGTACAATTTGATCAGGAAAGATAAAAATTCTGGTAGAGGTGGTGGTGTTCTGTTGTATATTCCTGTTAAGATCAAGTATGACGTGATAAAAGTAAGCTGTGATATAGAACAACTATTTGTCAAGCTAGTTTATGATAGGTGCAGTTTTGTGGTTGGTGCAGTATACAAGCCTCCACAAACTAATTATAAGCATTTTATTGATTCTCTGGAGACATCAACTACAATCGCTATGTCATATGCGGACAATATTGTTTGTGTTGGTGATGTAAATGTTAATTTTTTAAATGTTGTATGTCGAGCAACTGAATACTTTCATTGTATGTTATCGTCGCTACAATTGAACCAAATGATCACTGAATCTACAGATATCACTCCTCAGTCTGAATCATTAATAGATGCACTTATTTGCAATAATGAATCTTTTGTTACTTCAGTATTTGTATATCCGTCACGGTTTTCAATGCACGAGTGCATGGGCTGTCAGCTAAAATGTGATAAGCCTGGAGTGGAGCCCAAATTTTATACTTATCGTAATTTTAGAAAATTCGATGAGTGTGTTTCAGAAATGGGCTGACAAACTCACACTTTGAGGAAATATTCGGTATTCATAATGTGTGCCGCAAGGTTCTGTGTTGGCACCATTGCTTTTCACATTGTACACTAGTCAGTTTACCAAGTTTATTAAAACCAGCTCAGCACATATGTATGCGGATGATACACAGGTATATCGTTCTTTCTCGATGACTGACTGAAAAATAGTGAATAACCAAATTAATCAAGATCTTGCTACTCTGGCAGATATTTCTGCAAGGCATTCACTCCCACTAAATCCTAAAAAGTCTATGGCTATGGTATTTGCTAAAAAATCTGCTCTCCAGTTTTTGGAATCAAACGTGAAATTAAATGCAAGTAATGCTGTCATTGAAATAAAGGTAAGGGAAAGAATCTGGGCTTACTCATTGATCAGGATCTAAGGTTCAGGGATCACATAACGAAATGCATACAGAGAACATACGCATCGCTAAAATTACTATATCCCCATAGATCATATTTATCAACAGACACTAAGAAAATATTGTGCGATACGCTAGTACTTTCACAATTTATATACTGTTGTGTTGTGATATTTGGTCCATGTTTAGATTGAAACAGCGTTAATCGTATTCAACGTGTACAGAACTCGTGCATTCAACTCACATAAGGGATTAAAAAGTATGAGCACGATTCCCACTAACTGAAGGAATTGAATTGGCTAATCTTGGAGAAAAGATTGCGCTTATATGCTCATATGCATCATCCACTTTTTGATATCCCTCTTTTCCATAGTTTTCGGTGACGGCTGCGATGATGTCAGAACACTAGACCACTTTTCAATTTTCGCGCGTTGTTTTTTCCATTCTGAAATAGTACTCACGCCCACACCCAAATCACTTGCCACCACAAGCAAATCACCTCTAATTAAACTTCTGATTACCTCAAGTTTCTGTTCTATGGTAATAACAAAGCGTTTACGTTTATTTCTATGCTGCTCCATCTTAGCGATTATGAACCTGAGTGAAACAAACATACATGCATATACCAGTGAATTCCGCAAGCACGCTTAGGGAATCTAATGGCGCAAATGCCGAAAGGGGAGCTACCAGCGGCTATTTCGGATCATGCGCCGATTTCCCGAACAACTTAAAACGGAGAACTTATTGCATGCGATGTGTTTCGGGTAAAGCGGATTTCGGATAATCGCGATTGGGATAATCTGGGTTCTACTGTATTTTTTATAATAAGAAATAATAATTAGATACATGTTCAAGTTTTTACGGAATCACTGACATAATTTGGTAGCTGATCCCTCCAAACTATTAAAACTGGTATTCGTCATTTTTCATGTCATAGTTGACAGACAAGTTTTTGACAAACCGGACCAACTGAAAAGTCTTATACTCTTAGTATAAACGACAGTCAATACTCGTATTTTTGATTTAAGTTGAACTTTCTGTGTCCGAGAATTTGTGAGACATCGAATCGAGAAATTTATTATACTCATAGAAGAGAAAATATCGAACAGGTCTGCTTCTTTGGTAATCTCTCATCCCCAGTGATGTCGTTACTGGGTTACAAAATAGAAAATCTGAGAAGGTGACTTGATTAGTAGTTTATGTACAGTACAATGTGTAAGGTTCAGTCCGAATTGAAAATGTGGATAACAATAGAAGAGATAATATTGATATATGTTTCTTTCATGTTCGGTCTAGCCGAAATGAAAAATGTAGGTAACGATAAAAAAGAAAATATCGAAACGTTGTATGCCTTTAGTAATCCATTATCACTTTAACACAGGAATATTCAAATTCACCAGCTTTTCGTACCCAGAATGTAGTCTTACCGAGTTTTAGTACATTGAGTGGTGGAACTATATGAATAATTTTAGTTTCCACTTTTCTGTGCCACATTCTCTGAGGCGCAGAGACGTATATAAGTATAGATGAAGAAGCATTAGAATATACATTGACGTTCATCTGTTCAGTCTCACTGATTTTGATACCGACAACGCTGTCACTGAATGTATGACCTGTTACAGCTTCTTGGTACCATACTCCGTGAGACATAGTCTTCGAGCCCAAGAAATGGAATGACGCTATAGAGGTTTGCTACTCTGAATAACAATAGTCGAACCAGCTTATGATATCCAGTCTAACTTATTGTACCTGGGTAGTTGCAACTATATGCACAATTTTAGTTGTCCCTTCAAGGTACCACAATCTGTGAGGTGCAGTCTTCGAGTTGGGAGGTATAGAAGGTAGAAAAGGAAATACCAAAAATGTAGGTTTATTGTAATATTTTATTGTTGTTATACAAACATGAATGTTTAGGCTCGTCAATTTTGGTAAAGACGTTGTATCTAGATGTATAACTTCAGTTGCAATTTATATATATCAAAATTTTAGTGACACAGTCTCCAAACTGAAATTTGTCAACATCATGAGAAGTATCACCGACTTTAGGATGGACACAGGATGCACTTAGATGTACAATTCAGTCCACTGTGAACATTTATGAGAGAAACGCACCGAAAACGGAAACTGCGTTAGAATTGAACAAACTGTTTGTTGTTAAGTTGTTCGTCTGAAATGTGAAAAAATAATTTTTTAGCGGTTTCTATTTTTGTTTTGTCTTTGACCTCTTTCTCTGCTGCTGCTGGGATTGTATCAACATTGTCTAATTTCATCGAAAACCGAGCTATATTTCTCAAGTTTTAAGTTTTAAGATTAACCGACAGACAGGCCGACGGAAAACGAACGAAATGGTTTTTCGTGATGTAAATGATATCCAAAATACATAACATCTTATTTTAGGTTAGATTGGTGCTTGTAAAGCGAACAGCAGATTGGCAAGGCTCACTGTGGGGGTCAAGAACAAAGTCTTTTTTCCGGAAAAAAAACAATGAGAAATAACTAATATCACTATTTATTCCGTTTCAAACTAGTATTCGAATTGTCAGAGAAACTGATTAAGGTACACAGGAGAACTACACATATTTCACATTTGTCTAAATAATTGCGTTTTGAATAAGCTTATCATGCTCGACGAAATGTCAGTAAAGCCATTTACCAAACATCTGCGGTTTTATTTAAGGTTAGGCATATGTTGCGCAGCTTGTTTAAGTGGAAACGCATCTTTTCAGGTACATTTCCGGAAGCATTCTCAGATCCTCAGAAATGTGAACAGTCTGCAGCATGTTGCAGAACACGTTGGAGCATTTTTGTCGTCAGTGCGTGTGCCGCAACATGTTGCCGAATATTCCTATTTCCGGCACATGTGCCGGCGTGTCGTTGTACAGTACATTTTTTGGAAAATGGCGTCAAGTAGACTCAGCACTTCATAAGGTATTATGTTCGGTACAAATTGGTCAATCTGAAAAAAAGTTAACCACTAACACGTATAACAAAACAATTGTAGGGATCAAGTTAGACAAACAAACTCATACAATTAAAATTTGCATATTCACCATGTGTTTTTTTACAATTTTAGAGCTGTTTACGATTTGGCTCGTTGAGAAAATATGCTGTCCATTGCTCTTCAGAACGAACTTCTGTATCAAAATACCGTGATCTAAACGGTCGAAAGCTTTTGAAAAATCGGTATAGACTACATCAACCTGCCCTCCTTTGTCCAAAACCTCCGCAGCGTATTGCTTGAAACATGCTAAATTACTACATGTTGATCTACCTTTATAAAAACCATGTTGACCAGTACAGATGGTACGACTTACATGAGAAAACACGACCTCAAAAAGTACAAACTCAAAAACTTTCGCCAAATACCTCAAGATAACAATCGCTCTATAGTTCTCAATATGTGACCTATCGCCTTTCTTAAAAACTGGAGTAATTTTCGACATTTTCCATTTGTCAGGAAAGGTTGCAGTTTTTAAAGACAAATTAAAAAGGTATGCTAAGGGCTGAGCAAGTACCGAAGCACAATCCTTAAGAAAGAAAGACGGTATGGAATCTGGACCTGTGGAGCATTTAGGTTTCAACTTATTCAGAGCATTTCGTACATGCTTCTCATGAACTGTTATAATAGATAGGCAAGAACTATCGTTCACTGAGGCAGAGTCAGATAAATATTCCGAGGAGGAAATATAAGTAGATTGGAAATATGCTGCAAAGGCGTTCACTATTTGCTCAGGATTTTTTAACTCAGTATTTTCAGAAAACATGTTGCTAGGTATATTGGCGAAATTTTTGCGATGATTTACGAAGGACCAAAAGTTATTAGGGTTGTGAGCCAAAGCGCGCTCGGTTCTTTCAACAAAATTTGAATAAGCCATGTCAATATCGATTTTTATTGTTCTTCGTAAACTGCTAAATAATTCATAATCTGACAAATTACTTGTTCGCTTGTATCGTTTCCAGAGACGATGCTTTTTTCCGATTTTTGAGATAATAGAGCGAGAAAACCATGCAGGATATTTGTTATCTTTCGGCAATGTGTAAGGAACATGTCTATCAAATGCAACATACAATCGTTTATAAAAAAGATCGCATGCAATATTAATATCCGTAATATGTGACGGGAGAGTTAAATCTAAAT